AGCCCTTTCCTCCCTAGCCTGACTGCCCCTGATCTACCACTTTCATTCATTAAATTTTAGTTCCCAGCATCACATGTGAGCAACGCAGTCTGCCCACTATTCCAAACCGGGATTTTGAAATTTGCTTAACTCCTGTCAAAAAACAGCCCACTGCTTGCATCAAAGCTGAGGGCTCTTATGAGCAGTGGTGATGCAGAGTGCTGTGATGTTTTCATGAAGCCTTATGCAACATCCTAGTGGCCAATTCCCACCAGCCATGATCTGTGTGCATTGCATAGGGAAGCACAGAGACTCAGTGATGATGTCACGGTCTAAAATAAGATACATAATACAAATGTAAAGGTTCCATTTAAAAACTTTATTCGCACGTTCATGAGGGTGGAAAGTCAAAATGTATGCAGATTAAACCTCAACTTTAATGTACTGAAATGTTTGCAAAACAAATTTATAAAAGGTAAGCCACAATGATATTTTTGCATTGACTTCTACTTTATTGAATTAACAGTGTTTGACTTCTCAGCAGCGCTTAAAGCTCTGGCTTAACAGCAGTTTGTATAGCGCCAACCATAGTAAAACAACCACACAGCATCAGGGACAGGCTTGCACAGCACATGACAGGTGCCATTTAATCTCTCTGTGACTTCTACTTCCTCTTTTTCACACCTGTAGATCCTTCCTCACCTTACACTATGTATAACAACAGCAACAGCAGGAAACCCACACAGCAGCAGCAACAACTTCATCAAACTTTGTATACCTCTTCTTACTTACAGTCTACACTTCTACAGAGGATCAATGGAATGCTGCCTGTGTTCCCATCTGGGGAAAATATAAAGTGTTTGTCTAGGCATTAAAAGTGGCATTAAACAAAAATGTAATATATTGCAGTTTCCCAATCCTCTGTTGTTTTAGCTGCATGAAACTTTCTTTTCTTTATTATACCTGGCGATCTAGCCAGTAACACACTTCCTGGCCTTAGCAGGCCGTACATGGGTCATTCAATGCACTGGCTGAACAAAAAAACAACTGATCCATTTCCCTCATCTACACATTCGAGGTGGAAGAGGGAATCCTTCCACTGTGTCATTGTTTTCTGACAACGGGGAGACCAAACCACCATCAGAATACACAGATCAGTGTTGCGGTCTATAGCCTGCAGTGCTGATTGGGAGGGAAAAAAACCTGCAGAGCTGTTGAACAGAAGTTGATCAGTAGATCAACTTCTGTTCAATTACAGTGGCAATACATGTATCGAGCAGGGACCGTCAAATTTCCATCCATATAGGGCCAGCTTTAGAGTGTCGGAATTGAATTCTGGATGAAGTAGTAAAGCAGACACCTTAGCACAGCAGCATTGTCAGCCTGAGGAAAGGATAGTGTTAACACCGGCCCAGGGGCGGACTGACCATTTGGAAACTCGGGCGCTGCCCGAGGTCAGTAGGGGGCCCCATCAGATGCCCCTGGTACCTTTTTCATAGGCTTTTTTGAGTTTGGGCAAGGACAGGGGCCCCATGATCCCCTATTGCCCGGGGGGGGCCCATGAGTTGTCAGTCCACCCCTGCACTGGCCTATAGCAGATTGATGGCCAGGGCGGGACACTCGCCGTTGTGGCTGGGCGTCATATGACATCCTGTCAAAATGAGCCGCTCATGCGGCCGCGGCGCGATCTGTCACCGGCTGTGTCCCGTGACATATCACTACACTTGCCCGTTGCAATTGTCATGTGACCGCTGTGACCAGGGGCAGACTGACAACTCATGGGGCCCCCGGGCAATAGGGGATCATGGGGCCCCTATGTCCTTGCCAACACTCAAAAAAAGCCTATAAAAAAGGTACCAGGGGCATTTCATGGGGCCCCCTACTGACCCCGGGCCCTCGGGCAGTGCCCGAGTGCTTGAATGGTCAGTCGGCCGCTGGCCGTGACCAATCACAGGAGATCACATGTTAATTGTATACAATGGATGGCTTCCTGTCATGCCATCCATTGTATACAATTATGTTGTTAGCTGTGACTGGTCAAGGCAGTCACATGATACAGACAGAGCCAATCACAGCCCATCTGTATCATGTGATCAGTTTTGCTCAATCACAGCTAATCACAACAAAGGATTGAATGAATCAGTTTCATTCAGTAACTATGATTGCTAATACCAATGTATTTCATTGATATTTGCAATCATTATGTGTTGAAAAAAATATGAAAAAAAAAAAATCTTGATCACTTGCCCAGAGTAGTTCAGTGTTACTTTGGTAACACTGCTTTGGTCACAGTGTGCTGAAAAAATAAAATAGTAAAAAAAAATTAAAAATTTAATAAAAAATAAAAAAAAAATAGAAACATTTGAAAAAAAAAATTCAATTAGTATTATTATTTTTTCACCAAAGAAATGTAGCAGAATACATTTGACCTACATTTATGAAGAAGAAGTTATTTATTTGCAAAATGTTATAACAGAAACAAAGGAAAAACATTTTTTTTTTCATAAAATTAATGAAGGCTGACCATTGTAAATTCCCTGTCAGTGGTAAATGCTTTGTCTCAACCATCTAACTGCTACTTTAGCTGGACAGCTTGATCTGTTAAAGCAAGTTGGAAAAAATAACAGACTTACTGGCCAGATCTCCAGGGGAAAATAAGGGAAGATGCCTAAAAAAATTAAAAGAATGCACCCACCACATTT